TCCCTGTTCGACGAAGCAGCAATACCTAAACGTTTGTCATTCAATACTGAAAAATAATTTACCTCTGCCTCACTCTAATCGTCAGTATTTAACAGTGGAGACCGTGATAACCCATCGGTATGTGCAATATGGAAGCCCCGTTTAAAACTTACATCATAATTAGGTTGATAAAAATCCCCACATCAGTTTTCGAGATGCTGCCAAAATGGAAATTCCCTTTTTTGGATTTAAATATGTAGGCTCTAATGGATGATGATAAAAACTCCAAAAATTATATTCAACGCAAGTTAAAATATTAGGTTCCTTTATCAAGGATTTGCATTTTTCAAAGCATTTATTGGATTCTTTACTACAATTCCACTTTAATAGTTTACGCAAATAGTAGAGTGCTCCTTATAATATATTTTCACTTTTGTGGGCGCGTCGGAGTTACAAGCTGAAATTTTCACAGAATGAAGGTTTTATCAATCAACATCTTGACATGGTCATGAACAATTGCCCATATCTTTGGTAAATTTTGAGCAAGTTGGAATAAATTAAACAACATTGAAAAAAGCAATAAATTCTCTATAAATTCTTGCAAAATTGAGTTAGCTAACTTAGATGGTTTTTGGGCAATCGAGCCTCAAATTTAACTTTTAGTCCAAATATTGGCAAGAACTTCAAACTCAATTTGTTCAAAAACTATGAATCTGGAAATATTGTAAATTACAGACCATTTAGAACTTAATAGAAATTACAAATTCTTGAAATTTTAATGCAATTTGCTTAACGGCTACCGAGCAATTGAGGTTTGAATATTTTGAAATCAGAATTCAAAAAATTATGAAAAACTCCTTTTTTTTTTATTTGTCAGTTTTGCTCAATTTTGACTTTATTAATCGATAGAGCGGGTTAAAATTAGTGTAAAACAACCCTGGCATCAATTCCAAATGGCCATTTTAAGCAGAAACAAAAATAAACAGAAAATCCTACTTTTGGCTCTGGAAAACTTTCAAAATCTTGACATGGTCATGAACAATTGCCCATATCTTTGGTAAATTTTGAGCAATTTGAATTAAATTATACACCATTGGAAAGATCCATAAATTCTCTATAAACTTGTGCAAAATTGAGTTTGATAGCTCGAATAGCTTTTGAGCAATCGAGCCTCAAAGTTGACTTCTAGTCCAAATTTTGGCAAAAACTTCAAACTCAATTTACTCAAAAACTATGAATCTGGCATTATTGTCAATAACAGGCCATTTAGAACTTAATCAAAGCTACAAATTCTGGAAATTTTAATGCAATTTGCTTAACGGTTACTGAGCAATTGAGGTTTGAATATTTTGAAATCAGAATTCAAAGGGGGTACCTACCCTTATGAAAAACTCGATTTTTTTATTTTTCAGTTTTGCTGAATTTTGACTTTATTGATCGATAGAAAAAAATTTCAAAATCTTGACATGGTCATGGACAATTGCCCATATCTTTGGTAAATTTTAAGCAAATTGAATTAAACTATATACCATTGGAAAGAGCATTAAATTCTTTATTAGGATCCTTATTAAATACTTCATCTCCAAAACAAATTCTAATGGAGAAGGCGTTCATGAAAAAAGTGCATTTCAACTCGTCAAACTTCCTTCGGTTTGTTTTTGAGTCAATGATGATCATATATTTCGTTATCGAAGTATCTATTCAGTTTCAAAAACGCAAATGACTGTATCTTCCGCAAACAACACACCAACTGTTTATAGATTTCCAACAGGCCTATGATAGTGTGAAAAGAGTTAGGATCTGGGAGACAATGGCAGAACTCGGACTACTTCATAAGATTATAAGACTAACAAGAGTTTGTATCGAAGGTTCCAGATCCAGAGTGAAAGTTGAAAGTGATATGTCGGCAGGGGCAGGGTGACACGCTGTTCCCAAAGGAATCACGTTCTAAACGTCTTTAATACTGATGAGCCAGGGAAAACAGTCACCAGACTCCAATACTTTTTTTTGTAGAAATCGCTGAGACACCTAGAAAAAATTTCAATAGGGGACATTATGGGAAATGAAGCCGGGAGTGATAGGTACTTCATTAAAAAGGTCCTTCTACGCTTGAAATAACCCCGGATTTAAAGTCGTTATTGCCACCATCGTCAAAATAGCGGCTTCTTCAAAAGAGTAACAAAACATTAATTTGAAACTAGACCTCCAATCAATTTGAAATTTCTAACGGAACTTTGGGGATGATTCAACTAACTGAATAATAATGTCAATAGATGTCTCCCGCACAAAAACTTTCAACGTTTTTCAGAGATTTCTATGAATAAAAAAAATAAAACTGCCGCGTGGAACACCTCAAGTAGTTAACTACAAACAAATTGCGCCGCCTACTAACGTATTTAACTACGTAGTAACTATGTTTTTTTTTATAAAAGTAGTATTCTGACTACTTCCTTTCCCAAGGGCATAACCCAATACACAAAATAAATATTTCATCAATTTAATATTTATTGTATATTCACTAATACTAAGTTTAAGGCCAAACACAATTTTCCCCTGCTCTGATAGGTTTCAAAGTTAAATGTATATATCTCTATAGTATGCAGGTTAGTTGGTTCAGTTGTTATGCTTGATGCCTCTGTGGCATCGACATCATCCGTGAACATCTGCTCAATCAGCCTGAACGTCTTATTATTAATCCTTGCTTATTTTGCTATGATTTATATTTCTGCTTCCTGCTACCTGTGTACCTAAGTCGTTTCAAATGTTTGCTCTCATTATAATCTCTCAACAGATCAATATTAATATCACCCCTCGTATCACCCAGAATTGACATTTTTTGGTGTGTTAGATTATAGTCACCTATTTTTTCTACCGAGTAATTCCAAAATTCCCTACTAATTGCATTATTTTTCATTATCTGAAAAGTTTGTTAAAAGACTTACAGTTTTGGGGACAAAGAATATCTCACACTTCTTATGGATTTCGGTCACCGACAGATTTTGTTGAAACTTTAATATATTATTTAAGAAGTCGAAATAAGAATTTTTTTTCATTGCACCGACCTTGTAGCGATCCAGGGTGATACTGGAAAATTAGGTCAAAGTTTTTTTTGTAATTATCTACTGGTAAAATATTGTATGTTAACTTTGGTTGATAAAATAAAAACAATATAGGTACTTCATAAAAATTTCATTTTAATTTCTAGGATGTTCAGGGTGGTCCAATTTGAACACTTTTATTAGGAAAATCTTCGTTATTTTTTTATTCATGAAAATAATTATTCACGAGAAGGACTAGATATAACTAAGGAAGAAGTCCAACACGCCATTCAGTTATACAGAAACGGGAAAGCGGCAGGTCCAGGCGGTGTCTACTTAGAACTTATTAAAATCCTAACAAATTAAGAGTCACTTCACGCAATGGTGAAGCTTTTGAATATGCTTTACCGATCGGGCATCATTCCCTCTGACTGGCTTGAATCAACATTTGTGACGCTTCCGAAGAAAAGCTTTGCAAAAAGATGTAGCGTTTATCGCCTTATTAGCTTGATGAGCCACTTTCTCAAGATTTTTCTTAAGATCATCCATAAAAGAATATCATCACGCATGCTTCGTAGACTATGAGAAAGCGTTCGACAGGGTACAACATGAGAAGCTTATGCAAATTCTCAAGGATGATAGAAAACTCACGATAATCGTAAATTTCTACTGATGGAATCAGACTGCACAAATCAAGATAGGCCAACAAATGCCTGACGAAATACGGATAAAAAGAGCTGGCCGGTAGGGTTGCATCCTTTCACCATTACTTTTTAATATTCATTCGAACAGAATATTTAAAAAAGAATTAGAAGACTGCACTGAGGGAATTTCTACCTACGGCGTGAACATTAACAATCTTTCGGTATGTCGCCGATACGGTTTTAATCGCTAATTCTCTGGAAGGTCTTTAAGTATTACTTGATCATTTGGCTAGTGAAAGAGGAGAATTTGGATTAAAATTGAACGCCAAAAAAAAACTAAATGCATGGTGATCAGTAAGAATCAGGTTGAAGGAGGTATTCTTCAGGTACAGAACCAATAGATCGATCCGGTCCATTCATACAGATACGTATGATGTCAGGTTAATGAAGACTGAGAGGAGGTTCATGCCAGGATTAAACAAGCCAGAGCATCATTTGTAGAAATAAAGTCTGTGTTGAGGCGAGGACTCTGACAGACGACATATGTAAAATGCTAGAGGCTATTGAAATGTGAACAGATAGACGAATGCTAAAAATATCTTGGACGGGCAGAGTGCGCAATGAAGATGTGCTAACGAGAATGTCACAGGATGTTTAAGTTATGTTTACGCCTACGGACTTAGGAATGACAAATACCTACTTCTCAAGCTCCTGATCAAGGCAAAAATCGATGGCAGGAGAGGCCCTGTACTTCGAAAAATAGCTTGGCTAAAGAATTTACGTCACTGGTATGGCGAAACCAAAAGTCTATTCAGAAAAGCCGTCAACAAAGTACAGATAGCGCTGAGATTGCCAACGTTCCTAGGGAACAAGGCACTTGAAGAAGAAGAAGATTGATAATATAAAGTTCGAACGGATTTTTTCCTCAAAAAATCTTAAAGATAAACCTATCGAACTTTATATCATTGAAATCAGACAAAGCAGGGCTATCCAATGAGTTATTAAAATATGGGGTTTCCTATGTAAAAAAATCGGACTTTGGTCAATATCCCGGAATACTGGCAGAATACCAAAAAACTGAGAATGTTATCAGATTCTGCTTGAGAAGTGCTTTTAAAAAGTTGTGAAGCTTTTCCTATTAAAAGTGTCCAAATTGGATCACCCTGTCTACGCTAGCTTTTGGATATACATATATTGTTTTATTTTAAAAAAAATGCCTGATTATATCAAACAAAATAAATTACCTACAATATTTTACAGTAGATAATTAAAAAAAAAATTAAATCTTTAACCTAATTTCTTAGTATCACCCTAGCTACAAGGAAAGAAAATGCTTATTTCGACTTCTAAAAGAATATACTAAAGTTTAAACAAAATCTGTCGGTGACCGAAATCCATGAGAAGTGTGAGATGTTCTTTGTATTAGTTTTCAATTCTTCTCAATAATATTAATATTACTTTTATTATAATTACGTATAGATATCAGTTATTTACAAGAAACTTAAGAATATAAAATTCTATACACTTCAACTAAAATTATTCATAACACTTATTAACTGAAATTAGTATAAAATTTGATATAACTATAACATTTGTAATGTTGCTTAGCCTCCATCTCACCACTCACTGTTTGATATACTTATCTGCAAAAACCTAACATCGTGTTAGTGGTAATAATTTTGATTGCCATATTCAAATTCATACAGTAATTTTTGTATTTGTATACGCGCTAATAAATTTTTTCTTGGTGACAAACGTTTTAAACTTGAGGTACAACTTAAAAGAAAATGGATATCAGAATCATTAGATTTTCCAGCAGTATCCATTAACGGATTGAGGGTTTCCAACGGTAAACAATGTATCTTGCTAGTTGGCTCCTCAATACAGTCATCTTCCATTTGCAGAAAAATCGAATTTTCATCCTGAACTAGCACGGCTTCAGCGCTTTCTTGGCTTTCACTTTGTAATTCTTCTCCATGAATTTCATTGCCGTCCCTATATTCATTTTGACTATTTGTTTCTACAGCTGTACTTTTGAAACCGTTCATTATTATTTTGTGTTCGATGTAAGGTATTAAAAATTCCATAATATCGTAATATCGCCATCTTTTTTTTCTAGAGTTTCCTTCAACTGATTTTTGCGTCTTTCCGTTGCGGTAGAATTTTATGAAGGTGTCACGTAAGCTTCTCCATCTCTTTTTAAGAAAATTAATGTCTAAAACAAAGGATACTGTAATTAATTAAAACTAAACAAAAATTGACAAAGAACGAGCATATTATTCATTATGATTTCAAACTATTCAATTACAAATATCCCATTATCGTCAAAGGTTTTGATGAGAACAAATTAATATTGCAAAAAATTGCAGCAAATAGATTTGTAGCCAGCTCCGTTTTATTCCGAAATCTTCAGTAAACTTAAACGTAAATACAACCTGCAAAGGACCCCGCTAAAAAACCTTATGGGAAAGTGATTTATGTGGAAATTCCCTGAATATTTTATATTGTGGAGAGGAAGTGTTCCTGATTAAAAGTTACCATTGCGCTAGAATCCATTATTCAATAGTTTCGGAGATATTAAGCCAATGATACTGGAAAATAAATACCTACCCATTTCATTTGTGTTGGATAGAGTAACATTTTTGTTTTTTCACTAGACTTTTCTTAATGAGTAATATTTCAATGTATTTTAAAATTACGTATTTCTCGAATTCGTAAATTATCACAAGACATATTTGACATACCTGAGTTCTAATAGGAGGCATATTATGTAACCATTAGCCAATATCTCCGAAACTATTGATTTATTGGACTTTAGTAGAATGGTAACTTTTATTCAGGAAGACTCCCTCCAAACGATATAAAAAATTCAAGGAATTTCCACATAGGTCACTTTTCCGTAGGGTTTGAACGGGGTCCTTTCAAATGAAGGCCTTCAGAAGATTGGGGAAACAAAAAGAAATGAAGATTTGAGAAAACAAATTATTTGCAAGTTAGGTGTCAAATGAGGTCTCGTTGCATTCATCATAATGTAATTTTATTTTAATATAAGTGAAAATATACTGGTTATCCCAGATAAAATCAAAAATTAACAGTGCTTTGTCGTTGTCATCCTGTAAAGACACATTTTAAGAATTCGAGTCGAAGGTAAGCTCGCATTTTCTTGACAGAATGACGAACCTCATTGGAATATTTTCCATAAATTGTGAAAGTTTTTTACCCATTGTTACTTTAGTTATTAGTGCGTGACGGATAAAATGTTCCTTAATTTTATGTTTAATTCACAGAATTAGAATGCTTATTCATATCCATACTTGCAAAAGCGTCCACTGATTGTAATTTTATTTGAGCATCCTTAAGAGCACAGTAGTAGGGATACACATAGTTTAACGCTACCTCAAATTATCGATGCATATGACTTAACATCAGTTTTTATTAAAATATGGTGTACCTACTATATTAACCGCGCGAGAGTCATAGTCATTTCAAAAACAAAAACTGTTCCACTCTAATTCCACATTTTCTGGTAATAATTAATTGGAGTCCAATCAACAAATATTCAGAATCCTATTAATCATGAGAAGTTTTGTTCTTCTCTAAAATCCTTGAAGCTTGACATTTATCCATCAGTGATATAGATATGGATGCCATCTAGCGGAATGATTCCCAGACGCTACTGCAGGTACATCCAACGGTACGGTACCAAGAATTTCAGAGACGGTATAAGAGAGATATTAGTAGTAAGGCATAAATATTCAATGAATCCCTTATAAAACTTAAAAATTTATAAGAAAGGTAAAAGCCAATTTTCAGCACGCCAGCCACCGTGTTAATGGATGAAATTTTAATGAATTATTATTTCATCGCTGAAATTTAAATTTGAAAAAAGCCTATTACCTTTTTGGCCTATTTTTTCACCAATATCTACCCAAGCACTCTCTCTAGCCAACATACTATTGTATCCATCCGCCAACTTATCGTATATAATCGGATGCTTTCGCACGGTCTTTATTAACTGTTCTTCAAACACCATTTTTAATGAAAACTAAATGCATTCAAATGCGCTGCGACAAACGAAGTATACTCGACGTGTCTCCTGCGTAAACTTTGCGCTCCTGCTTTGAATCACTTACATCACATCGGTAAGGCGATTGGGTTGGGAACAACTATCTGCAGTTAAATTAATCAAAAACCCTGAGGTTGTAACAACGTATGTCGGGTCACGCTACGTTGCTTGGAATTGTCGTACGCAGCCGCGCCAGGTTGGATGCGTCAGCAATATCCTGTTGAAGATTGAAGCGAAATACAGGGGAAAGTGAAAAACGTTACCGGATAATAAGGCACGCGATAGTCATAGCAGAAAGTATAAAATAAATAAATAAATATTTTTTATTATTAGCTTTAAGCTAGCAAAAACATGTCCAAAACTTTTAAGATTTTGTAATTTAACAATTACACAGGTATGATGTCTGCTATAAACAAACAACTTCTTCTTTCAAATTCGTTTTTATTTTTGTCTTTTATAACGCCCTCGTAGTAACCGTTACCAGTCCAGACGCATTAAAAAATTTCAAAACGCATGTTTCAGAATAATTTTTGGTAGCTACCTATAACGTCGTAGGGAGCGAGTTTCCTACAAGCCCAAAGAAGTGAAGTGGTTCAATAGGTTTGATAGGCGTATCCTGCATGCTACCTGCATAGCTACCTGTTTCTTTTACAAAATACTTAAATATACATCGCCCCCATAACTGTTTGAATGAGTCGTGTACAGAACCGATGTACACAATCTCGAAATAGGTGCGTGTAAAAGCAAAGTTTGCTTCCAATATAATTAAGTTTGATATAGATTTTTCGATGTTCTGTGATACTTGAAAAAAAAAGTTAAAACGAGCCTTATTGAATTAGTGATAGTATAGATTCAACTATACACCCTGCTTGACGTAGCCAGTGCATTTGAAGTTTTCCAGTTTGCAGGTGGATTAGTATGGATAGTACGGAAGCCCCGTCGTGCAATCTGTCTTCCTAGTTCTTAGTTCATAGTTCTGGCGTCACGACTCGGAATTTCTGATTTACTACGTAATCGATGTTATCCTTAAAATGGTAACCTAAAAATTAGGTGTCCAGTTCGACTGTTTTTATTTGCATTTGCGATGTGATTTTTAACAAAAAAAAACTGCATAGCAAAATCTCAAACATTCTACATGAAGCAGATAACCATCATTTTAGAGGCCTGTGTCCTCTGGCTCTCAGATCTTTAAAATAATTGATCCACCAATTTCTACCAAGCCGTCTCATTTGAGACCATCAACATTCAATTCTTTGATTCGATATAATATGCTCTTGCCTTATTGTATAGTATAAAGCTTTTTTGGTGTAAGTGTATCGGCGTGAAAATATCAAAAATAGGTTTGTGATAGAGCAACGATTGAGAGCAACACACATATTTTCTGTGTTTAGTAGTAGGAGAGCAAGAATAATGTTTTATTATCGGTCAATAATTAAGAAGGTAGATAACGTTATGGCAGGCATCTCGTGGTTGCGTCATAATCCCTCAAGTGTGGCGATAGCAAAGTTGTTATAGGGTCAATCATTTATTACCTGCAGCCACAAGGCTGAAATTTTGGGGGAATATTCTTTTATTGATTTAAAAAGTATATGTAAATAGCCAGCCTATTCTGGCGGTTGCGAGTGTCTGCCAGACGAGTATATAATAGTTATGATGATGCTCGATGGGAGTGCGAGCAGAACAGACTTTATACGGGTTCCAATGTCATGTCAGAATGACAGGATACAATATGACTACTATACTCGTACTACTATATTTTCAATTTTCACCAAACTAGCAATATGACGTAGTAAATCAGAAATTCCGAGTTATGACGTAGTAAATCAGAAATTCCGAGTTGTGACGTCAGAACTATGAACTAAGAACTCGGAAGACAGATTGCATGACCTGGCTTCCGTAGGATAGCCGCTAATCGACCTGCAAGCTAATGCACGGGCTACGTGAATCACTCTGTGCAAGGTTATTTGTGATCCGATCAGACATTTACAAAAAAATATAATGCGATTTGTTCTCTTCTATCTTCCGTCTATCCTATTTTCTTCTTCTTGCTTGTCTTTATGTGTCCCTATTGAGTTCGCTTGTGTTCACGGAAAGAAATTTTGGATACTATTAATCCAGTAGGGTAGTATTACAATCAAATTTTTGATCAATATAGCGCCAATCTAAATTTAGATTAATATCAATAAATGATTCGATTGATTTACTTGTTAAGCTAAAATCTGCTAAAATATATCAAACCATGATAAGAACAAGCAAATGAGTTCCAATAAATAACAACCAAAATTTGATTATTATTAGCAAAAATAAAATTTAATTTGCCTATGATATTCCTGAATATAATTTATATATTCTTGAATTTAGCTAAGTGTTGAATAGTATCAAGCAATTTTTGGATCAGTTCAAGTTGATTGTAGATAATATTTGCTAAATATATGATTGATTTTAGAAAAAGATATGACGAAAGATAGCAAATTTACCAATAATTAGGATAAAATTTATCAAATAATTTGATTACTTCTTGCAATATTTTGATGTTATCTATCTAATAATTGAGTGCAACTTATCAAATCTTTTGATTATTTGCATTCAATATTTGATTGCTGGCCAATTGATTTTCGTAATTAGCGGTGGTGGTGGGGAAATAATAACAATAAAATGAGGTTTCGTTTTAATTATTATTTATTCTGCATTCGTTTAAAATATTTATTACTAAATTATTATTATCTCCTACTATTACTAACTTGACCTAAATAACCTCCTCAAAAGGAATACAATTTTTACCCTATAGTTTATAGATTAGAAGAAAATAATGACAGCCGTATGCAACATCCTCTTTTAACTTTAAAAGCGACTTTGAAAGTCAATTGATTAAGAATATAAATTTTCAAAAGTGACAAAATAGGCTAAAAGCGCTTTTAAAATTAAAAGATGATGTTGCATACGGCTATAAGTCTTTAGTGTAAAAGCAAATTAATCAGCTTATAGCGAGGGGGATTTCATTGTGGTAATTTAGTGTACACAATAGTGGTAATTAGTGGAAATTTCACGGGAAATGAGTGGTAATGACTGGAAATTAGGGGAAATATAGTGGTATTTAGTGGAAATATATGGTAATTAGTGGAAATATAGTGGTAATTCGGGGAAATTTTTGGTAATTTGAGGCAATTTAAGGAAATTTTTGGGGTAATTTAAGGAAATTTTGTGGTAATAACTCGAAGTTCAGTGGTGATAAAATTATGATATGCCTTTGAATTTGCGTTAATTTAGAAGTAACAGAGCTTCAACTAAACTATTCAACTAAGCTTTAAGAAAAATATTCTTCTGAGTCCCTATTAGTCAGTTAGAAACATCAACTTTTATTTTCAAAGGAATGTTTCATTTGAGGTTTCATTACATGAGAAGTGGCAACCTTGCAATAGTTCAACACTTGGTTCGACATAATCTATGAGCGTCGTTTTTACTACTCATTTTGAAACTTTCAAGGCCTCGTTTCATTTAAGTCCCAGTTTTGTGTTTCAGTGTTTCTAAATCTAAAAGAAAAAGTAGAGAGAATTCATTCTTGTTATATTAAGCCCCCATTACACATTCGGCAAATAGCTACAAATATGTGGGTGTTTATGTGTTCTCGTCTCTCTGTTTCTCTAGTTTCAATTTTCTAGATTTTCACCTATCCTAGATGGATGCCAAATACCGAGCCAAATACGCAAATATTTGTGAGGAGCTTTACAGATTTTTTAGGTGTAAGTATTAATTTTGACTGCAAAGGCGTGTAAAATTTCGTATTTTTTCATGTTTTCGTCTTCTAGATGAAATCCGAAATAGAGTCCAAATGTTCTGAAGTCGCTGTTGAACTTGATTCCGAACTCGGTTCCAATCGTTCACGTTTTTGGTGGATTTACATTTCCAAGGATCTTCTCTTTGAGATTTGGCGAGCGGAGCGAGCAATCGGAGACTAGAAAATAATTTAAATATCAAGATCCGATAACGTGGAGTTTGTACTCGTGTTCTTACTAACCACGTTGAAGGTTATTGGTCGTTTTTCAAGCAATAATAGGTAGGTATTTAAGGAGATTAGGAGTAATGCAGTCTCACTTTCTTGTGGATTATATCAACCAATTTATTTGGTCTCAAATTGGTAGGAAATTTTCGTAGTTGATTTTTGAAAGGTGTTCAATTTTGATTGAAATTTTCTGATGGAAAATATGCATTTTGCGCATTAATAGCTTAAACGTTTCTGTTTGATGGAATCTTTCCCAAAAAAAAATATATATATACAGGGTGTCCCACGAGGTTTGTCCCAAATGATAACTTCGGAACGCATCATCATATGTTCCAATGTATAATTTTTTATCATTTTCTTTAACAAATATGGCATTGCCGATTTTGTAATCTAATTTTCTAACAAAAAAGGCCATAATATACCATGAGTTACATTTAAGATTCGAAAGATGACGTCACTTGATCGAAATTGAAGCGAAACTTGTGAAATTGGACGTAAATGGTAGAAGCGACACAAAAAGTTAAGGCCGAAACCCACTAGCAACACGCCACGCCATGCTACTCCACCCTACGCCATGTGACATAGGTGCACGTGGAACAGTTTGTGTGCAAATTTGTAACACGCCACGTGATGACACGTTCATTTTATTCTATACATTTTATTCAGAAAATTTCTCAGTAGCTTTGAGTACATCATGGAGTATAGTATAGAAGCAGTTCGTCTAGTGACTAGATTTTCTAGATACAGGACAGGACCTAGGTGGTCCGTGACAACCTTTGAAGTGGTCCACGAACTGATACTACAAGACGAATTCTGAAACATTACTGTTTTCAAAATATAAATTTGGATTACTTTTTTTTTTCAATCAAGCAAATAAAATTCGTACTTAAAGTACCCATCTTTGCAATTATTAGTGCTTTAGATTATTCTCTACAATTATTTTCAAAAATAGTAATGACTCACAAATCCGCTCTAGATCACTCTACATTGGAATAATCATATCGAACAAGCCAATTTATCATTGCAGGTTCTTGCTAATGCCCTTAAGAAACTCTGACGAAATAGAATAGAAATGAACACT